CCTTTCCAAGTATTATCTTAGATGGATATATTTGTTGGATAATTAGATGGTTACCGTTTTAGTACGATATCTAACATTCATTAATGATGATAATGATAATAATGATAATGATAATTAGAACAAAAAAAAAAAAAAAAGGGGGGGGAAAATTGGGAAGCAAATGATATTAAGCAAGTAATTTTTTTCTTTTTTCTTCTCTCTCTCTCTTAAATTTTAGAAATTTAAAAGAATTTTTTAAATTTTCTTTTTTTGTTATTCTTTTCAAAGTTTTTAATCATATTTTTTTTTCTCCAATAATGCTCCAAAAATTTGAAATTTTATCACCATTGTTGCTTTTTTTTCCCTCTTTCAAAAAAGAAATTCATTTAATTTTTTTTTTTTATTTTACAATTAATAGTTTATGGATGGTAGTATGAGATGATCAGTTTTTGAATGACAAACTCTGAAAATTGTCACCAACTGGTTAAAAGGCTATTGTTAGATGTAAATAATGTGACCCATCCTTTCCGTTTGAATAAATCGTTAATTACGGTTTCATCCAATGGATAGTGAAAGGAAATGTGATGTCCTGAATTGAATGAAAAAAAAAAAGAAAAAAGAAATTATCGTCTCATATTACAAATTGAAATAGACAATTAACATTTGTCTATGATTGCTACTTTTCCTTGTGTAGGCGCAAAAATTCATCCTTTCAATGTCGCAATTCATGTTGACAATTGTAGGAATAAAAGAAATTGAAAGAATTGAGGGATGATTCATTTTGCATTGGTAAACATAAAAATTCCTTCCATATCTTATTACTCATCCAATTTTTCATTCATTAAAATTTTCATCTATCAAAACTGATTAATTAATTAACATTTACACTTAATTATGAATAACATTTATAGTTTTATCATTTCTTAAAATTAAAACATTTATAATATTTGACCATAAATTTAACTCCAAATGATTATCATTTCGAAAATTTAATTTCATTTATAATATCGCTATTTGTAATAACTTTAAATATTAATTTTACCGTCACATTAATTAGGCATTTGCAAAAATTCTTTCAAAACATTTGCAACATTTTTTTTTTTTTTTGAATAAAATATTTTTGTCACATATCTATTAAAGATGAAATGACAAATTAATTGTAAGGAGCAATCAGTTTATAAAATTCATTTTAAATCAATTAAATTATCTTGTACAATTTTGAAAACATTTGCTTTTTCTAATTTGTTTCACTAAATTTCCAAACTTTGCATTCAATGTTATCTTTAATTTTAGCATTTTATTATGTATGGATTAAATTTTAAAATATATTTCAAAATATTAGAATAATATTTTATCAAGAAATTCGATTCAGTGATTAAAGTTCAATTTCTCTTGAGAGTAGCAATCATTGAATTTCATCGAATTTTAGCAATTAATTTGCATGAAAATTTGCAATTAAAAAGTAATGAGACTTAGTATTGGGCAAATTAATTTAAGTACCAATTACTTACACACACACACACACACACACACACACACACACATACACAGACATACGCACACATTAAACATATATATATATATACAGTATTAGTTAAATTTGTTGATGTATT